GCCACAAGGCTTTTAAATATAAATACCAAACCATTGACCAATACAGTAATATTTTTACAGAGTTGAGGGAATATTTAATTAAAGCTTAACAGTCAACCAATACACACACACACATACACATACGACATGCAATTATTTTCTTCCCGAAGTGTTTGTGTGTGTGTGTTAATTACAGTTAAACATTTAGCAGGGCAACCCGCATGTGCGTTAACTGCGGACAAGAAATAAACAAGACCAATGCGTATATCGCTTAAGCCATGAGGGTAAACCGCATTAACACACGCACATGCACACGCAAACGTACTCACATACATAACAATTGATGCTGGTTTAAGTCGCTGCAATCGTGAGCCTAATTAAGTTTGCTTGTATTTTTACGAGATACAGCCGCAAGAAAAATAACATAACAGAAATCCTTACCAAATAAAATACTTATCCAATGGCAAAACCGCTGGGCTCATCAATGTGTGTTAATGCTAATTGTTATTGTAGTTTGATGTGCATTTTGCAGTAACTGCAAATATACATGTGTGTGTGTGTGTGTGTGTGTGTGTAGGTTTGTGTGTTGTGTACGTGTGTTTATTGGGTAACAAACTTAAAGTGGCTGTCACTTTACCTCAAATTGAATTTGGTGATGTGTGAGGGCGTTGCCAGACAGTTTCAATCGCTTAACTCAATTTGGCGCCTCAAGAAGTTTTTGTGGGACCACCCCGGCACTTGGAAAACAGTATACGAGGGCATCAATTCGAACTATTTTTGTGCATGGCCTTCAACCGAAATCAGTGCAAAAATATTTAGCAAAATTGCATTAGAAAGTTAACGAAAGGCTGGCGAAAAGCGCAAATTTGTCAAAAACTTTTATTAGGGTTAGTTGAGTTAAGTTCTAAAAGTCCGAAAGTTGAGTTTGAGCAAAGAAATGTTAGAGCTTAGAGAGAAAAGCGATGTAAATCGTTTTATTTCGGGGAAAAAAATAGAGTTTTATTATTTGTATAAACTTTGAACCTTATGGATCTTAAAGTTAAGCATTTTTTACAAGAGTATGAAATAATTCGAAATGAATGCATGTACATAATTCTCTGCTTGGCTCAAGTTATTTATGTCTTAAGTAAATCAAAAGGATATTTGCCAGGCAAGTGTGGCTCTGCCCTTGAGTTAGTAAAGTTTTTGATAGAAATTAAATTGCGTTTTATCCCATTTTCGCTGTCATAATGTCACCTTTTGGCTTTTTGTTTTCTATTACTATTATTTCCTTTTTTTATGAAAAATTGTTTTTTACAGCAGCTTAAACTGAAAAAAGAATGGAAACTTTTAGCTATTGTCGAGTAGAGGAAATGCGAACTGTGAACTACGTAGTGGGCGTAGCTGGGTTGAGAGGTGAAGTATCGAGGCATCGAACAAAGTTTAAACAAAAACAAGCAGGGCGTTGCTGTCAGCCGGCATGGGTTTCACGGGAAGTGGGGGTGGACTTAAAAGGGCAGCCAGAGCTGACACTTCATTGCGATCTCTCGCGTTTTGTCCCGTGTCAGATGGCAAACTTTTTGCAGCGCGGCCGTCGCCTGCGGCTGCCGCATCGCATAAATTAGCGAACATGAGGCGAGGCGCGTGACTGTTGCCTCTGACTGCTGAACAACCCCTTCCACCAGCCGACCCCGTCCACACGCCTTTCCCCCAGGCCACACACGCATACAAATGACTTACTGATTGACTCGCTGCGCAGACTGTTGTGACCACGCGCTCGGTGCAAATTAGCCGTGTTCGTGTGGTCGAACGGGTCCAATGTGAAAGCCATTGGCACTGCAGCCAGCAACCCAACTACCTTCGGCCCTTCGTCTAGCTCTGCTTCATTTGCAATTAAAGGCTAGCCAGTGCTTGGCCGAAAATGGCCGGCGCAATTAATTAAAAACTTTGCTGCATAAGGTGCAAGGCCATCAGCTGTGTGAGGCGCAGCGGGGCTTTTCACTTTGATGGATAAAGTTCTAAAAATATTTTTGCAGCTGGCAATAAATACAATGTAACAGCTCTTCTCTCCCTCTCTCTCTCTCTCCCTCTCTCTCTTTCACTCTCGCTCACTACATCGTATCGCTTTCTCTCTCTTTTGCTATATCTGCATGTAAATTGAAATTGCGTATACGGCAGGTGGGCTAGCGGCAATAATTTCACAGGAATTCTCGACAATAAATTGAGTGCAAAATTGATTTTCCTATGATATATAATAGAATTGAACCGAATTCTTCTAACAGTAGTTTTAAAAGAAATTTTTATTTGGATTTTGTATAATACGCAATTTTAAATTGCGTATACGACGTGCTGGTCAGCGGCAAATAAACTTTCAAAGACTCGAACAATGGAAATTCCTCAGATAGCTCAGCTATAGCTGTTAAGTGTTTTATTTTGTATTGCTGTTGCCGTATCGAGGAGCGCGCAACAAAGTACAAATTTTGGGTTTGAGCACAAATGTAAACTAATTGAATTTTTGTTCGCCTACGTACGACACGAACACTGAATTCATTCACAAAATTGTTGCACACTTTTGCGATAATGAGGCATGAAAAGCATCAGCTACAGCAGCAGCAGCAGCAGATGAAGCGACTGGCCGCGTTTTACAACGTCTGCTCAAGAGCTACTTGGCCAAATTGTTGCCGGGCTGTAAAAAAGTTTACAGCGAACGCGTCAGTCAGCCCAACCTGGACCTGAGCATACATTTTGCATGCCACTCAGCTACATGTGAAGTCTTCACTTGCGGCGCCCATTGCTGTTGCCTTTGATAAGACTCTGGAGAAGAAGCTACAGTCTACCTACTGTGATTTATTCAATCAACTTGTGCGTCGCACCAACAGCTCAAGTTCCTTTTTTTTTATTATTTAGACATCTTTTGTGCTGCTGTGCTGGGTGCTGCTTCTGCAGTTGCTTCGTCTGCTGCTGTTGCCTTATGCGAATTTAATGTCATATGGCTGCCTAAGAAGAAAACGTTGCTGCCACATTTAATCTGCATAATTTTTATGATACAACAACAATAACAACAACAACAACAACAGAAACGACAACGCCAGTGACAACGACAACAATTGCGGCAATTTCTATGCCGACGGCACACGTGTCGTATACACAATATGCCAAGCGCTTCGCATATTATGTTGCATACTTCTGGGGTCTGATTTATTTAATTGCCCGCGGCACACGAGCCGCGAGTAATGAAAACAGAAATTGCCAATGATTTCTTTAATGAGTGACAGGCAAATTTATTGCCTAACAACATTGTTGACAAATCTCAATAAATAATAACAATTGTTGATAATTGCGCAGGCTTCTGTCTCAGCTAATCCAGTTGTTTCATTTGGCATTGGGCTGTCTCGGTTATGCAGAGTCGTTTCTGTGTTATCTATGAATCAGGTGAGTAATGCACTTTTATTTGGCCATCACATTGCCCTTAATATATGCATAAAGGATTAGCTCTGGCCTTAACTTTTGGCATTTGCGGTTTTTCGCTTGGTTTCCTGTTAAATGGTGAAATTAAATGCCCGTCATGTTCAACTCTTGTTAATCCATAAAATATTTGTAGCGCGCTCGTTGCAATCAATTTAATTGACAGCCGTGCTGCAACAGTTGTAACTTTCTATATGATTTTCGCACGACAACAGGTGCAACAAGTCAGGCATTTAATATGCTAATTGCCTGCTGAATATGGAAGCCATTGTCATTGTCGCAGGTGCCACTGACGTCAACAAAAACTGGCTTTGCCTTTACTCTTCCGTCCCCCCTCCCCATTGCATAGCTAACTGCCATCGCTCAAGCACTTTAATAGCTCACTCAGCAAAATCAACTTGGGGAATATATAAAAATAAGACTGAACCGGAAATTAGTTCGATGCTTCGTAGTTTGAGCTGTCTCTTAGCTATGCATAAATAATAGTACATATGTATATACATTTAGTTTATTGCTGCCATTGTAATAAAAAAAAAAACAACAACTTTTTTTTTGTATTTTACCTTGAGTCCATTGTAAATGGCAATTCATGGTTTTATTGATGTGTAAGTATTAGGCAGAAGAAGGCGTGGCAAGGCCATATGCTGCGCCCTGTCGTCCGGCATGTCGATCTCAGGACCTATAAGCGCAAGAGACTTCAAATTTTTGTAAGTTTATGTAAAGCACGCGTAGATCGATTTCGATTATCTTAAGCGATAACTATTTTTGTTTTAGTGTTATCGATTAAACCCCTTTAAAAATCATTTATATAGATTCGCGTTATATTACATATTACATACGTTATATTAAATTACACGTTAAAAATTTGACAAAATCAACCCATGTGGAGTCTTCATATATTTGAGTGTTGTGGCATATCAAATATATGAATAACATTATCACATTCTGAATGTTTGATGATGAAAGTCCATTAACAGGAAAAGTTATTGAACAATGAGATAGGGTAGTTCTTAACAACGACTTAATTAAATAATTGTAAAACAGAATATAGCAATAACTAAATTGCAAATGCACAAGATGTGTATTGGTTTCACATTCATGTCTTATCATTCAAAGGAAACTATTTAAAATATCTGTAATATTTCAATTTATAAAGCTAAGATCGAAATACATATGTATTTATACGCATACATATGTCCATTTCAATTCAACTGGATATACTTATGTTTACCTTATGGTATCAGAGAAATCTCCCCCAGCTTAATTTACAGAATACCTATATATGTTTTTACCGGTCTACGAAGACAAAGTGATTATGGAGCAGCTCTCTGACTGCGACTATTTAGTGAACTTCAGGCGGGTAATTAAACATTTTCCAAAACTTAGCGCCTGGCCACGCCCACCAATAACAATTAGGACTCGCAAAGCGCGGCACTTGGCTGAAAACTTTTAAAAGCTCATTAATGCATAAATTAGGCTTCTCCCACCGCCCATTCGATGTCCTTTTCTTTCGTGCAGCCCAATTTCGTTTAAATAGCTGTGAGCCACACAGAGATGAGCAGTTGACTAGCAAAGAGCTGAGGGCATGGCGGGTCTGCAGTTCCACGGCGACACCGATGAGAATGTCGGCTATGCCGCGAGGGATGTGGACGTACCACGGGTGACACAGCTGTTCGGAGTCCACCTGAAGATCCAATGGGCCATTGGAATGATGCCGGTGCCGTCGCTGCCAGCCTGGGTGCCCGACTGGCTGCAATCTCTGCTGCGGCTGTTTACCGTCGGGCATTGCCTGCTGGTGCTGTTCATATCACTGCATCTGGGCGTGCTGTTCTGTAAGACGACGCTGGATGCGATGCCCACGGGCAAGCTGGAGGACATCACCGATGCGCTGACCATGACCATCATCTACTTCTTCACGGCGTATGCCACCAGCTATTGGTGCCTGCGCTCCGAGCGCATGCTGAGATTTCTCTCGCACATCAATCACGAATATCGACATCATTCGCTCGCCGGCGTCAGCTTTGTCAACATGCATTCCTCTTATCGCTGGTTTCGCAGCTTCACCTTGGTTTGGCTCGCCGCCTGCATGGGCGGGACCATCTCCTGGGGCATCACGCCCTTGGTGCTACGCAACCGGACGCTGCCGCTCCACTGCTGGTATCCCTTCGATGCCATGGATGAGCGCTTCTACTCGCTGGTGTATGCCACCCAGCTCTATGGCCAGATCATAGTGGGTGCCGTGTTCGCCTATGGCGGCTTCATGTTTGTCACCATCTCCTTCCTGCTGCTCGGCCAGTTCGACGTGCTCTACTGCAGTCTCAAGAATCTGGATGCACACGCTCGGCTCCTTGCAGGCGAGTCGCAGCAGGCATTAAGGTAGATTTTCTCACACAATCTTATATATATGCTTACTGCTCTTCCACCGCCAGTGTTGTGCAGCGTGATTTGCTGCTAGATGATGCGACCAGTGAGCGTGGCCAATATGCAGTGCTGCAGGAGCATGCGACGGATTTGAGCTGCTTTGAGTCGACAGGCCGTCAGCAACCGCTCAGCTTGACGAAGGCCGCCCATGAGGCGCTGGTGGAGTGTGTGCGTCTACATCGCTTCATACTGGGCTGTGCCGCGGAGATGGAGCAGCTGTTTAGCCCGTACTGCCTGCTCAAGTCACTGCAGATCACGCTGCAGCTGTGCCTGCTCGTCTTCGTGGGCGTGTCCGGCTCCCGGGAGGCGATGCGCGTGATCAACCAGCTGCAGTACCTGTCCCTGACCACCGTCGAGCTGCTGATGTTCACCTACTGCGGTGAGCTGCTGCGCCGGCACAGCGTTCGCGTGGTCGAGGCCTTCGGCCGTGGTGCCTGGTGGCAACACGCGCCTGCCATGCGCCAGGACGTGCTCATCTTCCTGGTGAACAGTCATCGGGCCGTGCAGGTCACAGCTGGCAAGTTCTACGTCATGGACATAACTCGCCTCCGATTGGTGAGCATATTAGATGACTGTCGTGAATGGACCTCATAGACTTTACAGTTTTAAACGCTTCTAGGTTATCACACAGGCCTTCAGCTTCCTAACGCTACTACAAAAGCTGGCAGCCAAAAAGACAGTCGCCGGCTCGTAGGGCCCTCTGTGCTTAACCCCATTGTTGGGCTCTGCTAATATTTATTTAGCTCATTAAAAACATGTCAGAGTAAAATGCAAATAATATTTACGTACGTTTCCGCCTCGCCAACGTATTTGTTTAACAATGGGCTGTGTGGGCGTGTGAGAGTTCGTCCAGATGCCAACGCGCAAATACACAAATACATGTGTATATGTATGTGTATATATAGGCTACGCCTTGGGCCTATCTGTGATAAGAACCTCGCAGCAACTGGGCGAACAACAAGTCGAAAATTTAATGCTCTCCACAATCGAAGACTATATGACAACGAATGTTAGAAATTTCCATTTAAAGTTTCATGATTAAAGCCATTCGTATGCCTTAACAATAATAATGGATGAGTGAGAATAGCCAAAAGCCATTTTATTCATTTATTTTCCTTGCTCAAGTGCCATAACAAATAGGAGAATCCAGGCGAAAACCAAAGCATTCGCAGTGTCTATCTTTAGAGCAAAGTTTTTCAGATTTGCCAACAGCCTAAAAGTCGACTTTAATTTTGCTGTTCGCGCGACTCACGTACGAAAACTTATGGAAAAGTTTTCAACTCATTTGCGCTTTGTATTTTTCATACTGTGAAAGACAGCAGCACACACGCACACACACAGAGAGATATACGTATATGTGAGTGTGTGTAAGTGTGCTGGCAGCACGCGTATTTATAGTGAGTCATTTGTTTCTGTTTTTGTTGCCGCCTATTTTGAGGCACCCACGTACTACCATTTTGGTAAAATACTCATTGAAAATGCGCTTGAATAGGGTATATTGCACTTGAGTTTGACTGCCACATTGAAAGATCTGAGCTGATAAAATTTTAATAGACATTGTATTTATATATTGATTTTGTTTTATATTTGCCTATTGTCTTTGTATATTAGTGCAGTCGAGTCTCGATAATTTTTACTCCGCTAAATAAAAAATCGCGATTAATCGAGAAAGTTCTAGCCCCTTGAAAAAAATTGGTTCTCGATAATTCTCGATAGTTTCAATTTCTGTGTAAATCGAAAAAAAATGATGCCCTTGCCATTTCAAATTATTAGGACTCAACTGTACATATTAAACATATTATAAGTATTTTTTTTTTATTTACCTTAACTAAAATTAGTTAAATGTCTGGCATACTTTACTATATTAATTTGAAATTTCAATTACAAGTACTCTATCTACAGGGTATCTGCTAGCACTGCTCGTTACGTTTGGCTTTTTATTTCTGTTTTTGCCCGTCTGTTGGATTATTACCTTTTTGCTCATTGTACTTTTTGGTGTTTCGTGTCGTTTCCGGAAATACCTTTCACTTTGTCGATTTGTTCCTTTGCCGGCTAACTACCTTTATGCGTGTCTGCCGGCGAGGTAGGCAGCCAGGCAGTCAGGGGGCCAGGGAGCCAGGTACATTTATATTACATGCTATTTGATAAGCACAGTGCACAAGAGCAGCTGTAGATAAATGTGATTGCCATATTTCGCTGTCATCCATGCAGCAACAGCAACAACGACAACCAGCAGCCTTGCCAACCAAACCAAGTCGCAATTGAGCTTATGTCAATAATGAAATGAAATGCTTCAACATTAAAGGCCGAGCACTTGTGCATGCAATGCAAAGTTGCAAGCTGAGACTTTAATGTGGGCCATGGTGATTGCTTGGTAAACAAATAATCGAAGCGAAATGGGAAACTGACGGATTGAACAATCACGCTGAGTGGCCAATCACATCTGCTGCACCCAAATACGCAGGGCGAGCAGCATTGAATGGCTTGACTTTAATTATTTTGTAGACCATATTCAATTTACATTGAGCAAATATACAGTGTTAGTGTATTGCCCGTTCCTAAATTCATTTGTTGTTCCACAAGGAACACAACAGAGCAACAAGGCCGTCTTTCATGGGAAACACAAAATGTTTGCGGTCCGGCGCAGAAATGCGCGAAAATATGTTTATAAACTAATTTGTTTTGTTTTCGAGTTGGCCTCCCTGAAAAGTTGAGTGAATGAATAACAATCTTCTGCTCGCCGTGGTTGAGGCCATTTATTTGGATAGCGAATGCCAGCTGTCTGTCAATGCTGTGGCAGCCTGGCACCCTGCCAGCCAGCCAGCCAGCCAGACAATATCTAGGCCCGCATGGCATTTGCCATTGACGAGCCAGCGCTGCAGGCTGGGATCTTCTGTCGACAACTTTGAAGTAGTATCCGCCAAATTAAATTAACACAAAGGCATCTCGCTTCAGCATTTTGCAGTGACAGCTGGCGGCATTTTAATTGAAAGCAATCAATAAAAGCGCGTCAACTCTTCCAGCTTAGAATGAAAAATCACTGTCAGCAGCGCTTTCGATCACATATATCAAAATACTCGTACAACAGTCAGCAAACAATTTCATTTAATATCATTACTCGACAGAAACTTCTAATCAGCTGGGCTTGATTAACTTGAAAGCGAACAGAAAAAGTCCAGCTGCCCTTAGTTATTTAAAAATCAATAAGAATAATTGAGCTTTTCTAAATGTCTCTCTATATGTATGTGGGTGGCAACTGCAACTTAATCAGCTTACTTAATAGCTACGGTCTAAATATTATATTAAAATTTGTGAAACATTTGTGAAGGTTGTTTGTTTTTACAATAATTTCTTATATTTAATACAACAATCTTCGATGATATTGTCTTTCGCCTAAACTAACAATTTAATGAGTCTGTGAGGCAGGTCCACATCACACACGTTTACACGTTGCCACCTGGTTGCATTTTGTGAATTTGATTTAGTGCACTAACCAAGATTGATCAAGTCTAATTGAGCGTATTCAGAACTAATTTTATTATTCCTTACTCAATAATTGCTATTTGAGATGCAGGCCGCTCGCATGTTGTGCTGACAGCTTTCTTAAATAATATTCACACATGCTTTCATTGCCTCACATTTTCCCATATAATCGAGTTAAACGAGCTCATATGCCAAGTCAAAAAGGGTTGCTTATTGCTATGCCTTTTGGCTAATTGAATTTACCTTTTACCATGTCAGCTTTAATTTGCTGGCCTAAAACTTGATATAATATCTACTGGGCGTATCACATTTAATTGACAGGGCCACATGTCGTATACGTAATATACGTAATATGCGTATGCTTATTGCTATTGTTTGTGTGGAATGCTTTTGTCAGTTAGTCGCTGTCATAAATTGCAAATAACCAGCAGGACTGTGCCCTGCAGATGTATACAAATACAGGCAGACTTATATACAGACACACACGCACACACAGTACACAGACACAAATTGACTTTGACCATTGAAATGACTAAACAAAAGCATATATAATTTCACATCGAGTGAGCCAGGTAGCTGCAATAACTGTATACGTGTGTGTCCTGAAGGTCATTTAAGCTGAATGTCCATATGCTAAATACGATGATAGAAATACCTACCTATGTGTATATATATAGGTGTGTGCTCAATCATTTGCTATGCGCGTTGAAATGCAAGCATGTAATTTCATCAAGCCAACGGACTGCTCTGATTGCTGTTGTTCGCATTGGGTCTCTGGGCGTTATCTGCATATTTGATTGTAATTGGCATAATGCTATTATGTATGTATGTAGGTGCACCGTAGCTCAAGCCAAAGCGGCTTTGCCAGTGCAACGGAATTGCATTGCTGCGGAGACACAAAATCGAATTGCCCATAAAATGCGCAACAAGCGGCTTTGGCCATAAATCAATGCAATCGGGCGCCCAACAAGGACTCGCTTACCCAGCGTACCTCCTGCAGTTGATATATGGATATCTCCCGTTTCATTTATTTTATTCTCTTTTTTCCAAAGAATAAATTGCCATAAACGGCCAACTGCAGTCGTTGAATGCCCTGCACATTTCTCTCTCTCTCTCTCTCTCTATATATATATATATATATATATAAATATATATCTACATATGTATAAATAATATAGAGATAAATATGTTTGACTGAAGCATTAATTATTTTGATCTACACGCTCTTACTCTCTATCTCTGTCGCTCTCTCTTTTTCTCTCTATTTCTTTAATGTGCAATTGCAGGGCATTCATTAGTCGTTCTGTTTGCAGCTTTCATCCGTTTGTTAATTAAGCGTTCTTCATGCCTGTAAACAAATATAAATAACAGTTAAGGTAAATATGTGTGTGTGTGTGTGTGGCTGCACACGCTGAGTACGCGAAAATTACGATATTATATATTACACACGCCATTTTTTATGTAAATGTATGTGTATTCATGCAGAAGTGGATCTTACACTGCAGTACGAATTGCACTGCACAACGTTGAGCTTTGTCAGTTTATAAGATTTAGCTGGAATTCAATTAGGGTTTGCCATAATAATTCCGTTGATACCTGATCCTCAAGGACCATGGCAACTGATGGCATGGCAATTTGTTGCTCAACTATTGTATTTGCATCCAGTTACCCAAGTGCTGTGCGCTATATTCGCAAGGGGAGCGCCTAAAAGTGCACTCCAGACTTTTTATTTTAATTTGTTGTTGTTGTTGTTGTTGGTGGTGGTGGTGGTGCCTGCCCTGAGGTGCAGTTGAGCACAAATTTTGAAGTTACCTTCGCAACGCCAACAACAACAACAACAACAACATGGAGAAAACAGTGGAGAAGCGTTTATTGAAGGATATTCCACTTTATTTTCGCGCTGGGGTCACAGCTGTGCTCGGCCCTATGGTCCGCGCTCTATGCTTTACGAGGCTCTTAAAGCTGAAATAGAATTAAGAGGCGCTGAGTAGTCGCAATTTTTGGACTTTGCTCATTTTTTATGGTTTTTGGCCGCCACTTTGTTGGGATTTACTTTATTTTTTATTTGTTTGTGTTGGCTAGCCAGAAGTAGCTCACAAATTTGCGAGGCATTAGCGTGCATTAATTTCACAAGTACCGTCAAATAATTATCATAATTATCATTTAACTAATGATGATCCTCTCCAACTTTTGGCCAACTTTATTTGCTATTTGCTGCAGCGGCCCTTTGGGCCATATGCAAAGCCTGCTGCATATTAAAAATGTATATGAAAATGTAGTAAATCGGATTACGTAAAAAGCTTATGTTGTTAGAGTTTTTAAATCGTGATGTTTTACGCAAAGTACTTATATTCCATTAGCAGTTCTCTAAAAGTCCCAAGTTCATTTAAATATAATCAACTTTCAGTTGTTAGCCTTTTAGCAATTTTTTACATTTGCAGTCCAATTTGCTGAGCCAATTTTAGTATCCTTTAGTTGATTTCCTTGAAAACGTATTTGCCATTTGCACACGGTTAAAGCCTCAATTACGGAATTTGAGTATTTTAGCTGATATAAATTCAAGAAAATCTGGTCACACTGCTTATTACTTTCAAAAAGCCAGCCATTTTAAATTACTTACCAGCTATTAATTAATGGAACAATGATACCATAAACATTTATTTATTTATAGCTGAATCACAATTTGCTGGCATTATGCCGTCAACCAATTAATTTTCTTTATATATACATATATTATATTTTCATTCATTCGCTCGTTCGTTCGATTGCTGCTTAATTGAGCGCAGCTCTAAATGAGCGCCTGGCCATTACAATGGCAAATAGTATATTTGATTGGACTCGGGCCGAGAGCCAATGCACTGTGGAAAATGGTATGGTGCATTTGAGTAAAACAAGTGTTTCATATTGTTCGATAGAATGCACATTTAATATAGAAGTCTTAAAAGGCTTCTCAGACACACACACATATGTAGGTTAACATTTAGTCAAACATCAAACATGATCGCCAGTATATGTTAAACATATATGTATATATTTTATTTGATATCTTAATATATGTATATGGTTTTAGATTTTAGTGTCTTTGACTGGGTTGCAGCTAATTCTAATATATATTTCAATATACTACTAATATTTGTATATATGTACATACATCAAACAATAACGCACAGAGATATGTCATTCGGAATCTTAATTATGCTTCGGATTCTTTTATGTTGAGTTATAATACTTGTGTGGCTGTTTTTTTTTTTTTTTTTCTGATTATCGAATCCATTTAAAGAGTTCTTTCCGTTAAATTCGATTCAGTTTTTAATGGGAAACAAGAAGATTTGCTCTGTCGATAATGCGTCATTCATTTCTAATGGGTTCTACTAGTACTCAGAGTACATTGATAAGTTGATTCAATAGCTAAACTAATTTTACACTAATCAGATCATAGCTAGTTGGGTATATGTATGTAGAGTTTTATTTACTTAGCACACCCTATGGGTCTTATTGTGTCTGTGTGTGTTTGTGTATGTGACAGTGTTACATTAACTTATATTTCAAGTTTTTGTCGTATATTGTATATACAGCAATCGTTTCCTAAACTTGGACATTCACAGTGCCTACCGCACAACTACTTACAGTTAAACTAATGCATTTAAGTACATTTTCTAATACAGTGCTTAGCTGGATTGCATTTGTGCAATGCTTTTCGCTTAGCTTAGCTATTCGTTAAAAGCGTTTTGTGACAATGCTCTCCCCTTTAGTAGTATATCCGAACTAAATACAGTGCGTATTCAGTATATATACACTTTAATTAACTACTTAGTAATAAATAAATACATTCATTTAATTTGGTTAACATTTACCTTGTGATTGCAGTTTACATTTATGAAATTTAAATTCGTATTTGCTTAGCTTATTTCAAATGGGTTTTTGCTTTCAGATTTGCATTCATTATGTTTTTAATTCAATAATTTTAATATACTTTGAGTTTAAGTCAAGGATCGGAAGGGCAAGTACATCAGTTCTTGATAGACCCTGTCTGAGCTAAGTAAGAGTGACTTTATTTTGTTGTTGTTGGTGCTTTTATACTTTAGTTCCTTAAAAGGCAACATATGTTAGGCGAGCGTTGAACGGAAACGGAAATTGCCGCCATTGCGCTCATTTCTCTTCGTCTTTCTCTGCTGTTTGCCCTGCGGCCAGGCTATTAAAGTTCAATGAAGTTTCAACGGCGTGCGACACTTAGGCCCGGCCTATCAGCGACCCAAGTCCTAAGCTAGCCGGAGACAGACTCGGCGTCAATGAAGTGAGCTAAAATATTTCCTCTGGCCATCAAACGGCCATAAATTCTCAAAAGTGTCGCGTTTCGCTGCTGTCGCTCTCGTCTGTTGTCTCCGTTAAGAATTTGTCAACCTCTCCATCTGCCAGTGTGTCGAAAAAAAAAGGGAAAGAGAAAATACTAAAAATGTTTGAGGCGCGCGCTGCAAAGTGTTCTTCGAGCTCTTAGTGAGTAGGTGCTACTAATGGCACCATTACCTGCTCCTTCTGCCTGGCAGGCCTCGCTCCCCTCTCACTCTGATTCTGCTGCGAATTTGTCGCTTACTTTGTAGCCACATCACAAAATTACGCTTTAAACTTGGTCCACATTGAAACTTTCTGAGCCAAATAGCTTTCATTATGGCTGCTGCTGATTGCTGTTGTTGCTGTTTGATGTGCCAGCCTCAAGCAGCTGTTTCAGCTTCCTCAAGACCTGGCAGTAGCCTCTTGCCGGGGCGCCATTTACGTGACCAGCTGAACATTTTTCATTTTGCCACAGAAAATAAAACCGAATGAATCAACTTTTCAAATAAAAATGGCAATCTGTTCAATGCCAGCAACAACAACAGCAACAGCAACAACTAATACAATAACAAGAGCAACGTCAACAACAACAACAACAAGAAAAGCGCTTTTATAGACATTGCGTACGTGAATTTGGCAGGTCTCTCGCATTTGCGGCCCGAAAATTTGCCATAAATTAAACGTTTAATTGTGAAAATCGCCAAATAAACAAATAAACGAAAGTTCGGCTTATATTGATTGCAATTGACTTAATCAAATTTGTAGCGACAACAACAACTGCAGGAGACAGTTTGGCGCATTTATTTATGGACTTAAACAGCGCCAGGCAATATGCAATCGAATTTGATGGCTTAAAAAACAATTTAACGCCATGAAAATATAAGGCCTAAAGCCCAAAATATTGATGTGCCTGTCCAAGCCTTAGCTTGAATAGCTCAGCTTGCTGTAAGTGTTAGTGATCCGGCAACGTTAATTTAATGCACAGGCCACGTCGACGAAGAACATTGGAATGTAAAGTATTTAAAATGTTATTTAATTTGATTTTCGTTTACATAGGAAGTGCCAACGCTCTGATATTAGCTGTGTAAACAGTTTATTACAAGTTAAGATCACACTCTTGGCTACTTGAAGAGCTTATTCTAGCTATATTAACAAACTTGAATACCGACTTTAGTTTGTTTTTAACTAAACTGCCCTCTATTATTCCATAGTTTCAGCAGCATGCACATAATCAGCCTCGGGGCTACCCCATGCTTGATAGAAGCAGGAAAATACAGATTCTTTGCATTTTCCGCCTTGGAATGCCTTTGACGCACATTTGCAAAATCTGCTATGCTTCGTTTAATAATCCCATAATGGAATTGCCGAGCCACAGGGCGGAGATGGAGGCGCTGTGGGGCGTGGCATTGAGCAGACAAACTTAATACACCTTGAGCACCACAATTAGAGAACTAGATGCCTGCGGCGGCAAAGCTGACCAGCTGGCTGGACTCGGCACGAATGCGAGTGGGATGTTTGGCGGTTAGGTGGTTGTTCCATCGGGTGGGTTAACAAGCAGCAGTTGTCTGGTTTCGGTTTGTCCGGCAAATGTGCTCAATGGCTGTGCAAATTGAATTTGAAATTAATTAGAGACTTAAGCCTCAATACACATTCACACACACGATTCGGAGCCGTGGCCGGGCTGTGCGTGCCGTGTGGTCTGTGGATGCTTGCCGAAATTTCGAGCTGCTCCGCTCAGAGATTGGTCGTCGAATCGCTGTTCGATTGCGCCTTGAGCAGGCTTGAGGCTGGACGTGGAGCGAGTGTCCTGGCATCGGCAAAGTCCACGCCGGTGCATTTGATAGGCGGCGGTTTGAGATTTGTCAGAGGATTGGCGTTTGCCTTGAGCTTACCGGGCTTCACCGGCGTCTGCTATCTGCTGGGCCTCCAGGCGCTGTTGTTCGAGTAGCGGCAGAGCAGCACCTTCTTGAAGGCCTGCCTAAACACCTTGTTGAAGATCGTGTAGAATATGGGATTCACCATGGAGCTGGCATAGCCCAGCCAGGTGACCACATCGAACACCCAGTGGCTGATGCGCTCCTCGCACTCCGCGCACACCGTTGGCAACAGGTTGAGCACAAAGAACGGCGACCAGAGAATGACAAACGTGAAGAACACCACGCCCAGCACCTTCGTGGCCTTCTGCTCCAGCCGTATGATGCGACCGTGCCGCGACGAGTTGCGCGAGATGACGCTCGAGTTGCGCGAATGATGAGAGCGAACCGTTTGCTGGCGCTGCAGCAGGCAGGGCGACGAATGCGGCGTCCGCGACTTGCCGCCCTCTCCTCCGCCCTGGTAGTTCATGTTCTGGTGGCTCCGCAGTGTGGCAGAGCGGCGTAACGGTGTCGTTGTTGTTGTGGTTGTTGCCGTGCTGGACGCCGTCTTGGTGGGGGTTAGCAGCAGTGAGGTGCGTGCACCGCCAAAGCTGCTGCCACGCCGACGATGCCGACTCGAGTCCCACGTGACCACCGATGCTGTCTTTGAGATGCTCAACTTACGCCGGCCGGGACAGGGTGTACCCGGCGCGGCCAGAAAGCCGCTGCCATCACTGTGCACCGTCAGGCAGCTGCCCGGCGTCTGATGGGCCGAGTTGGGCGACAAGGTGTTCGCCGACGCACCACCAACTCCACCGCCGGGAACAGCTGCTGCTGCCGCTCCCACACTCACGCTGCCGGTGAGCGCGCTCTTGTTGTTGCTGGCGCTGCAGAGCAGCAGGTCCATTTCGCTGGGCGAGCTGCTCACGGCCGTTGCTGTCGTCACGGTGGTGACCTTGAAGGCGGAGGATATGATCTTCACCTCGGCCGTTTTCACACAGCTCTGCAGCGGGCGATCTCCGAAGTAGGGGCAGGTGCACACCGACGGCAGCTGCGGGTAGTCCGACTGATGATTGGAGCTGCTTGGTACGTGATATAGTTTGCCTTGTTGTGGCTCCACCTCCGTGTCGGAGTGGCAGCTCTTGCTCATGGACGAAGATTTTGATGTTTTAGCTGCTTGCGTGTCTAGTCTTTCGTCGTCGTCCTCCGGCTCTGCACCCGCCGCCTCGTTGTCATCGTCGTCCTGGCTCTCGTGCAGCGTCTTGTGGTGCGTGTAGAGCGCATTTTTGGGCAGGCTATTGTAACGCTTGCACCGTCGTAGCGTGTCCTGATCCTCATCCTCGGCATCTTCGCTGCCAGCGCGTCGCTCACGCCCAGAAGCTGCCGAAGAAGCGCGCCTGCGCTTCTTGTACGCGCGCAGTCTTTGCGACAGTTGGGAAAGTGTGCTGCCAGAGATAAGGAAAAGGGAAACAAATGAAATTTAAGATATTTTTCAATTTCAATTTCAATTTATTTCACTCTTTGTTGTAATTACAGTTTTTTGTGAATGGTATCTTACAATAATTAAAGAGATATATTTATAGGATTAACATCAATTGTTCAATGTGCACGACAAGAGGAATTTAAAGTTTTTTCCACTGCAATTCTGATATGGAAATTGCCCGAATTCATAGCCAATGCTCCATCAGTTTCCAATTCCCCAAATCGAACCACTTTTTGTCATGAATACCGTTCATTGTATTTAAGCTTTAGCACAAAAAATTGAGCTACCTTTTTTTTGGTTTTCTTTTAAATATATTTCGGCAGTTTCACGCGCCTCTTAAGCTTTTTACATACTGAATTTATTTTATTTTTTTAATTAAAATTGCTCAGTCAATTGGCAAACAGTGCGCCTGAAAACATGCTGCCCGGCCGAAAGCATACACACCCTTACACGCACACCGACACACATACGCGTAACAGCGCAAGCTTTGTGGTCACCTGGCTTTGGGTGCGCTGAAAAGTAGGCAACACTTTTTGCTGTTTGTGTTTACAGTTGCGACTCGAACAGAATCCACAAAATGCGCTTTGTGGCGCGCATTGTTGTTTTTTGCTCTCTCCCTCTCACTCTCTCTCTATGTCTCCCCCGCCCTTTTCTTAAAGCAAACACTTTTGTGTTTGCCGCTGCCTCCAACGCGCTCCGCACGCTTTATTCTCATTTGGAATTCATTTTAATAAAGGGCACAAATTTGAGCGCTGGCTTTTGCGGCTGGCTTTCAGCTTTCCGCATGCCGCCATTTGTTTTGCATGCAAATGTTGAAGCAGCCGCAACTTCATTTGCGCCTAATGAAGGCGTCGCGCAACAGCTGTGGGCGGGGCACTGGCGGCGGCATGAGCAGGCTGCGCCCTCCTCCCATTGTGCATCCGTGACACTTTCTGATTTCATCCACGCGAGACGCGCGCACATAAATTGAGATGCAGTAAATGACAGTTGCCAGTTGCCAGATTGAAGCTACTGCGGCGTGCGGCTAAAAGGTGTCCCATCTCATTATGCAGAAGCCAAACAAAGCCACGCAGCTACCAGTCGAGTTTGTTATTGTTTCAGCCTCAAAGGAATTAAACAGCTGCCAAGCTCATCAAGTCAAGCTAACGGGCGAATCGTCAGCATCTGTTTATGTATGTATGTGTTTTTCTTTCTTTTGCGTAAACATGAGAAAAGCGAGGAAAAATAATAGCCGAGCGAGAGATTTATTCATAGCAGAGATGTGGCTGTCGATTGGGTATATTTATACATGTTTAAAATTGTATAAAATTCAGTGACACAAAAATTTACGGAGCTTCGTTCCGGGAGCTCCTCAAATGAAAAGACATTTAGTCAAACAATTAAAAGCCGATACAACAATTTGCCAGGACCCGAATCCAAGTGCCACAAAGGCAGCCAGGAGAGCGAAAATGCTCACAAATTATTTATTTATTTATTTGGTTGTTCTTTATTAAAGGACACACCGAAAAAGCGAAATCCATTTATTGATTGTGTAAATGCGTTCCAATGTCAAAAAAAAAAAAAAAAAAAAAAAGAAACTGTCAGATATGAAGGGCAAAATAATAAAGGGAAAAAAACGAGCAACAGCTGAGCCCGACAAAGAGAGAAACTAAAGCCATTAGGCATTAAACTTTATGGCATTAAGGAAATGGAAATTAACTATAAAAATATATTGCGAATTCATTTCGAATTTTGTTCATGCATTTTTTTGATAGGTGAATTCAGTTCTTTCAGCTTTGAGCTCATTTGCTGGGGGACAATTTAAATACTTGGAATATCTATTAAGTAAATCTGCTAAATGAAGAATTTAATTTTGTTTTCTCTTTATTTTTCTTTTATTTTTGCTCTTTTTGAAATGAACAATTTTAATTGGGTTTTCTCTACTTGTTCATCGTCTTTTCCTTACAGTCAACTAAAATAAAATCATTTGAGTGGTGTTGTTGCCATCGTGGCTAAAATCACTTAAGAGAACCTTTTTTTGCTTCATTCAAAATAAACGAAAAAAATTAATTATTACAAAAAATTTCACAACAATTCAAAGGCGGAAGGACAATGAAAGGCGAAAGCCCAAAAACGAGGCAGCCTGGCGTACCGAGACACAGGAGAAGAGAGGACCGAAAGAAACTAAATAAGTACGAATTGAGCTGTTGGCTTGGCTTTTGATGCGGTCAAGCGAGAGGCTGTGCATGGGGGCGTGGCGGCACCGACAAATGCTCGGGGATAATACGCTCGCTCGCTCGCTCTCCTGTGCTCACTTTACGCCTGTATGCGTGTGTGTGTGTATGTGTGTTTTTTGTGTTTGTGTATGGCATTAATGTTTGCAGCTGTTTGGCCTTTTGTCAGGCAAAGAAACCTGAACTGGCGGCATTTAGTTGAGTCCCTTTCACCAAAGGACCCAGCCTCCAGAAGATGTTGCTTTCTAAAGAGTCACTCTCTGTCTCTCTCTTTCTCTCTCTCCCTGAGCACGTTTATGTGTGTGCATATTGTGTGTCAATCGAGTTTCAAGTTTCAATTGATAAAGTACAAAAGTAAGCTATATAGTCAGTTACACCCTGTGGCCATAAGGAAGGGATTATTATGCTTGTATTTCTGCATTAAATAAAGACAAATATTTGGTGGAAGAGAAGTCAATACCCTGTACGTGTCATATATATAGAATGTCTTCATCGTATAATTAAGAGAATGAGAGCATAGGGTATCTCCTAGCTGCCTCTTTATTTTGTTAGTGTTCTTTTCTTTTTTTGCCGATTCTTAAACTCTCATTGTGGCAGTCAATGAAACTCGAACGTTTTCCATTTGAGATTTGCTAGCAAGTCTGATTGTTGCTTTTAGTAATTTCTGCATTTTGGCCTGTTAGGGAAACGTCCTTTGCATGGAGCGTCCTTGTGCCTAATTTTCGCCTTAGAGCATTTTCAATTAGGGATTTCCGCGCACTTACCCATCGCTCTGCTCGCCCATGCGGCTGCTGGCCAAGGAGTTGCGCGTGCTCTCGCGCTCCAGACCGAGCGTTGTGCTGGACAGGCCCAGAATGTTGCTGCTCTGCTTGCCCTTGGGCGACGTTTGTTGCAGGTAGCTGCTTCCGTGAGCATGTTGCAAGTGCTGCTGATGCTGCTGCTGTTGCTGCTGCTGCTGCTGCTGATTATGCTGCTGTTGCTGCTGATGCGTCGAAAAGCGCTGCGGGCTGCTGGAGTAGGGTAAATTGTTTGAGATGGAAAATTCGGATTTTGTGGGCGAGCCGGTTGTTGAGGACGAGGCAACAGATTCCAGGCCACGCGATAGCTTCAACATCTCCGCTCCAAACTGATGCAGCGCCGTCATTGTCGTGGGCGTGGGTTCGGGTATGCTAATGGGGGTGGCCAATAGAAATAGATTCCTAGAGGGGAATGCCATCACAATTTGTCAAGTCTAGCGCTTACCTGGAGTCGGGCAGCCAGAGCTCGTGATTGTCCAGTGTGCTGAGATCCGTGTCCGTCGAATTAGCAGAGTGGGCGTGTAGCACCGTTGAGGCGTGGCTCTGGCCCGGTTTCAACAATCGGCGCCAAGTGCAGCGACGCTCTGCAATCGAATAGCGAATAAAAACCATTAAATTGCAGTCAGCGCAATCATATGCTAGGGCTCAAAAAAATCACATGCCCGCTTTAAGCCAACTAAATGCGCTTATAAATTCGCACGACTACACACTCACACACCCACACGCACATAGACATTCACACAGTTACAGGGAAAAGCTTTGCTACGTGCCTGCGCCAATTTCAGCTGCCTTACAGCAGATTTAGCTTAAAATAACTGCACAGAAAATAACACACTCGTGCCCTGTACTATGGGCATGGATGTCGTTTTAATCGATAAAATCGCACAGTCCTTGAAAGTGCTTCAATCTTTAATATTTGTATAATATTTATGTATATAATAATAAATGATTGATATTTGAATATGTCTATGTAAATGGCAGGCTATTCAGTTAACATAGCCAAACGCTGTTAAGTCAACAGCTGTTAACAACAGCATTTATGGTTAGTGCTAGAATACTTGGCCTTGTGTTTGACCAATTCATAATTTTATATAATTAATTATTTAAATATAACAAAATATATTCTTACAAAATATTTAAATAGAATTTTATGACAATGGAATCTTTTGCTAAGCAAGAGCATTGCTAAACAGCTCGTTATCTAAGGAGCTCGTTCGCTCATTGAAATGTTTGGTCTAGTATACAGTTGACTCCCTACTCATGTATCCCTAGATATAAAAAAAACCATAAATTGAGCATTCCACTGTACACATTCACACACAAACAGACACACACACATGGAGAGAGCTGCATTAGCATTATAAAATCGTCGCAATGCCCTCGACCCACTGCTCGTGCTCTGTTCCCCATCGTCGATTAGCTATCAAATGTAACTCAACTGCAATGCAGCAGGAGCAGGAGCCGAAACAGAAGCAGACGCAGAAACAGAAGCAATCGCAGTTGCACTTACTACTAAAAGCCCATTAAATATGTTTAGTTCTTATTTTTATTTCCATTCTGATTTTGATTTTGATTTTGATTTTATTGATTATTGTTATTGGCGCACGAATTGCGCTTCCAACTGCAGTCGTCGAGAAATTTGTATTGGGGGCGTTTAGCCTGAATGCTAAATGCTCTACCGAGAGGGCAACCGAAACAATTTGCCATTGTGTGAATCGTTCTAGGGAGAGCTGAGTGCGATAGCACAACTAGCAGTTGTAATTTATGTATGTACTCACGTACCCAGAATATATGTATGAATCAATATGAATCAAGAGCACATTCGAGGGGCTTTTAAGTATGTGTATTGCATTAGATTCAATTAAGCTGTGAAATCAATATCTGCTCAGAATTGTACATTACTTTGCACTTGGACTGTCAGACAGACTTACGTAATATGCCAATGCCTGGCTGGTGGATGGCAGCCCTGAATTTGGTTATAAACTCATAGCATGCTCAAACCACACTCCTGTCGATAGCTGAAAGTGTGCATTGCTGTGGCCTAGACGCCTATGCATGTCCTGGCCAGCATTCTGGCTTTGCTGCTGCCCCCAACCACCCCCCGCTCCCGCCTACAAAATTCGTAATATTATGTTTGGGCTAGCTGCAAATCATATTAAATGTCGACAGCTGTGAGACAGTGGGCGTGGCAAGTGTCGTAAATGCGCACATGCATGTACACTGCGAGAAATGCAGAGGTAGTTCGAATAACTAGCAGCTGCTATTGCAATATTTATTTAAGGATAATCAACTGAACAATAATGTAAAATGATTTTGTGTTGGATTTGTGTGCATTCACTTACCCAAGGCTGGCGCCTGGCCCAGCCAGCCGCTGGCCCAGCCGGGCGTGACCGCCGATGTGGGCTGGCCGCCGCCCAAGTTTTGTCGCTGCCTGGCCAGGAGTCGGACGGTGAGGCAGTAGGTGAGCAGCATCACGCCCAGCGGTATATAGAAGCAGACAATGGAGCCGACCAGCTTGTAGACCGGATCCGGTATCTGACAAGTGCCATTCACCAGCACCGAGGCATGATCCTGTCAAGAGAACAGGATGTTAAGCAAACCGAAAACGGCGAGAGATAGCATCCTGCGGATGCTCACCTTCGAGTACATCAGGCTGAGCGGCAGACTCATGGCGATGCTCAGCAGCCACACAAAGACAATCTTGAGCGTGACGCGGCGTCTGGTTTTGTTGCGTCCGAAGCGCATTGGATAGCGGAGCGACAGATACCGATCCACGGATATCGTGCACAGATGCATTATGCTGGCCGTACAGAACAGCACATCCAGGCAGATCCAGGTCAGGCAGTGCTCCGAGCTCAGTGGAAAGTGGCCTGCAAAAGCATATCAAAGTGAAAGGAAGAGGAAGAAGCGGATAAATATGTTTATCTTTGACTTTTATTAGACGGAATGTGCTTGTAAATATCAATAAGGCAACTGTTTCTCGGGTCGACTGTGAGATGATACCCTGCACTGAGCACTGGAGCATGCCACGTGCATAACATTGCCAAAATCCCAAGTCCTTTTAGTACTGATAGCTAAATCTATATGTATCAAATAGTAGTTCCTCCACAGCAACCAATATACCTCTTTAGTTTTTGAATGGGTAGCCAACGGAAAATATAGTGGTCCAAGTGGCTGCAATATTTTCCAACTAGCCACCAAAATAGGCGGCCAACTGTCGTTTGGCCATTTGATTTGATTTCTTTTTGCTTCTGCTTTTGCTCTCCCAACTTTTTTTTTTTGTCTATTTTGTGCCACCTTCGGCCTTATGGCCACGTTGTTCCCTGCTGGCTTATGCAACATATTTGTGGCATCGCCTTCATATGAACGGCCCCTCGACCGGAACGCCTCTCGCGACAGTCGTTTTGCGCAGCTGTTGGACGTCATAACTCAGCGAGAGATGCTCTACAAGCCAAGGATGGCCGACCATAATATGTTCTACAGTTGTATTATGCCCCAGGCGATAGCGTGTGTGTGTGCACGTGTGTGTGTGTGTGTATACATTCACTGTGTGCGAGTGCTTGAAAAGATTTGTGTGCTGAATTTGGGGCTGAAATTTGAGTGGGCATGAATATTGTATCACAGCTGATATAGGATTGCGTTGGGACTAGAACAATATGAAATATATGAGTCAAGCTGAGAAATGTGAGTATATTCAAGGCATGCAGACAGGGGATTCAAAGTACGGAACAGGTATTGTAAAATATGCATATGTGTGTAAGGGAAATACGGATGGTAAGGCTCAGATTCCCTATCACTTATCTACAGTGCTTATCATAATTATAGCCCACTTTTAATCCACTGAAACGAATCGGCTGAAAACTTTTCCCAAATGGCATATTTCCTCAAAATCTTCAAAAATGAGTAGTTCAATATTTCAATTATGAATGGCAAAAAACTTTTTCACTTAAAATTCACGATTTAATAATGATTTCTTAAAAATAAGTAAAAAACGAAGAAAAACAGCACCATTTTCTGTATCAAAATTATAGCCCATATTCATATTTTTGTAAAAAAAATCCGAATTCGTTGCGGATTGATGGAAAAACTAATGTTAATACTTAGTCCGGCCTCCATTTGCCTTAGTTAACTCAAAAATTCTCTTCCTCATTGAAACCACTAAATTTAATAAAAGGTCCTTTTCGAAACTTTGTCATTCATTTAGAATTTGCGTTTTAAGATATCCAACTGTTTCCAACTGGCGATTTTTGGCATACACACGTATTGCAAGATTACCCCAGACATTTTTATCGGGTTGAGATCCGAAAAACATGCTGGCCAGTCAAGGACATCAACATGACATTCCTCCAAACACTCTTTTGTACGTCTGCTCACATGGATTCTGGCATTATCCTGTTGGAAAACCATTGGTTTCTCACGTAATTCCCTTGAATATGGAATGAGACTACTATCCAGAGCCTGAATATACTCTTCACTGTTCATTCGGTTCATTACAAACTTCAATTCCCAGGTACCAAATGAAAAAAATGGACCCCAAATCATGACGGAGCCACCTCCAAAGTCTGTCCTTGAAAATAACATAGGATTCTTCCTCCAATCATGCTAATAAGTATCAAACCCATCAGGACCATCCAGGTTAAACTTCTTCCCATCAGAAAATGTGACCTGTTAGGGTAAACATTTTTAAATATACTGTAAGCCAAAAGACGATGATTCAAACGCGTGTATGTCAGATCGGTCGCAGTATGTCCTTCGGCAAAACCAAGTCGAGCAACCTTGTGGCGACTTAGCAACATGGATGCTTTGGTCAGTTTAGACCTATTTATGATTCCTGAGCTCTTGAGTACTCGCCAAACAGTCATCGCTGACATAGATTCGCCCACATGTGAGGCCAAAGCTGTACAAGCGGTTGAGCTGTTGCTGGTTTTCTTAATAATTTTGCGTTTATCGTGCGCAATTAGTAACGGTTTTCACCCAGTGCGCCTTCTTGATCTTTATTCTTCGAGGTTATCCAAAAAAATTTTAATTACACTTTGATTTTTTTTGTTTTTTTTTTCAAAATTCGTAAAATACTCGAAATAGACTCTCCTGACTCGAAAAGTGAGAAAATACGGCCCTTTTCATAATAAGATAATTGTTTTCCAAGCGGCATCTTTTAAAAACTATCTAAATTTACTTAATTACAATGTCTGTAAAGCCAAAAGTCTGTTCCGCACTTAATAAACTCAAATTTGCGACAGTGGGCTATAATTATGATACACAAAAATGCAAGCAAAAATGCTAGCACAGAGCAAAAGTTAACGGTTCTTTCTTAGTTTTTCATAAATTGAACTAAAATTTCAATAAAATCTACTAAACATGCTCCACTCTACAAAGTGCTGTAAAATTTATTTTTGAAAATTCTTAAACATTTTGTTAAAACTGGCGCAAAGTTTAAGTTGCTGGGTGGGCTATAATTATGATAAGCACTGTATATTTGAGAAGAACAGCCTTCTCGCTTGCTTCACTTTAAACTTTGACCAATGGTTTCAGTTGCAAGAGCTCAAACTGTAGCCTTCACACTTGATTTCCAAAGGTTTTCCGATGTACGTTTTCCCTGTGTAATTTTCAATCTTTATCCATGATTACTCACCTGAGTAACAGGATTGACAGTTTGGATGCCCTACAATCGTGCTCTCTAATCCTCCCTCTACTTATTCATCGATACTACACCTACAGCACCTATTCAGCCCTGTGGCACCTTTTTCACCTAATCGGGGGTCTAGGAAAATAACAAACGCTCTGGCAGCATGATAAACTACCTGCCAATCAACTGTTGCTGGCCGACGACATTCATAATTCCTGTTCCTGTTGGCCATCAGCATTTGTCAAGCCCTCCATAAAACCGCTTCAATTGCAAACCATTTTGACCCGGGCGAGCGTACAATTTGCTCAGTTGCGTTGTTAGGTGTTGCAAATGGAAATGATACGGTCGTTGAGCTGGGAACCCCAACGATTTATGAAGGGCCTAAAGTGTCAATTAAATCGATTTGGGACGCACGGAAAGCCAAAGCGTGGGCACATCCATTGAGAATAAATTTGTTAGGGCGCCGAGTCAAAGGGAAGCAGCTTGACTGAAATCTATATACATATATATATATATATAGAGTGAGGGCAGCGCGAGTTACTGGGGGTAGCTGGAAGGTAACAGACCTATAACGGATACGCATGCTACCAAAGTTTCGTTTCCTTCGATTCCTGTTGCTGCGAGGACCAAGAAGAAAAAAACAAAACCAAAAACACAAAAGGGCCAAACTGGATGCCTGAGGTTCGAGAACTGAGGTCTGGGTCTGGGTCTGAGGTCTGCCAACGACTTGGGGGATACGCTACGCTTTTATTTGTATTTGGTTCTCTTTTATTTTATGTACAGCTCTTGCCCTCGCTCTCTCTCTCGCTCTCTCTGCTCCTTTTCTTAGTTAAGTTATGTTGTGTTTTGTTCATTCACAAAAAAACATTTCAACTTACAAATGCGAAACAAATTTCAAACAAAAGTGCAAAGTTCTGGGCTGCAAATAAATTTTTAGCTGATTTCTTTTGTGTGTTCTTTGTTTTGTTTTGTTTTGCATACTCTTTGGGAAAAGGAGGGGGCGTACTTCCCAGCAGGAGGGAACCATAAAAACTAAACTCAAACACAAATAGCAGCTAAAAGCTAAGCGTCGCAACTTGCCAACCGAAATGACTTTCTAAATGCGTTGAAACTTATTTAATTTGCAGCAAGGTTTAGTGGGTCAAAAGGAGGGCGGGCCGTCCTAATAATGACTTTTATATTTGTCAAATCTACTTAAGGGCCGTGGCCTAATATGCCAGAACGCCCAAAAATCAACTCATGACGGAAATACGATGAAATGTCTGTTGCTTCATGCAAATACCCCGTAAAACGTGGAAGGAGGGCGTATAGACATACGTGAAGTGGCTAATTAAAAGAAACATATTACATGTCAAAATATATGTAAATGGATTATCATAAAAAATAAAGTTAAGTTTGTATAGAAGTTTTAAACATTATCGATTTCACTTATTTCATTAGTGTACTTTAAAAAGGTTTAAAATTACTGTCAGAAGAGGATCCCTAATAATTTTATAATTGTCTTTATTTACTCAGTTGGAATATCCTTAATGCAATGTAGGCAAATCAAATATTGTTTCGATTCATTTCTTCAATATTTTACAAGTTCTTCCCAAAGTTCTATAGAGTATATTTGAGTCGATCACTCTCAGCATGAAAGTGGTTTTGTTTTACTTTGCGTAGCTTTTAACACGACGCGACGGATCGCTGCTTATGACAACATAAGCTGTTGTAGCGCCAACCCAACAAACGCCCGAAAAACAACAAAAGCAGCAACAACATCAACCAACAAACAACAACAAATATTTGAACAGTTTTCTGGGTTGGTAAACAGAACGCGTACAGCGCTCCAAACGGCCAGAGGAGGCAACAATGAAGCTTGGGGAATATGTCAAAAAAAAAAAAAAAAAAAAAAAAAAATAATAATAATAATAATAATAATGATTTATGAATGGGCTAAAATGCGCAGTTGTTGCTGTTGTTGTTGTGGTTGCTGCTGCTGCCAAACATCGATTTCAATTTGAGTTCGAACTCTCATTAGAGCATCAACAACAATTAGTTACAGTTTTGCCCAATGTTTACGGAAAGCTGAAAGGATTTTCTCCTAATTGGCTGAAAGTGAATTGGCTCAGACTAAAACTATTTGCATTGCATCCTTCAGGCTTATGATTTCCTTATAAAATTGAACATTTACTTATTGAAATCTGCCAGTGGCGCGCTTCAATGGCCATAAAATTAAATGTACAAATCTCGAATCTCGAATCG